GTTGATGTCACTCATAGAATGTCAGCATTGACAGACAGCTTACACCCATTTATTTGTTGCATGCCTTTTTAGATTGCCTCCCTCACACTGTAATAGCCTCTTAATAATGTTTGAAAGTTAAAAAGCACTCCAGTGGAAGGATTGTTATTGTATTGTTTACATTCACGCTGTTGTTATTTAGGGGGCAATAACTAGTCAGTACAGGGCAATTTCAATAGGCGTTTTGTCTAGACTACAAAATATCAGTCTATATTTTCTGCTTAGTTGCTGTTACAAGTAAAATCTTTCAAATGACCTGGGTGACAGTCCAATTCCATTGCTGTGAAGTGGTTATGAATGCTTGATATATACACAAAAATTTCTGGCAGAAAACCTGGCTTAAAATAAAGTGAGAAATAGAGATATTAAAAGATGACTCTAGAAAGGAATCCTTGCTTCCTGTCCTGAGAATTCGGTGGAAAAGAAACTGGGGCCCTGGACCAATGAAATGGTCATTTATTGCCCTAAATCTTAACAGTTGATGCCACCAAAGTTCTGCTTCAGGGATTCAGGAGTTCTGCACCATTATTATGTTTTAACTTCTCTCTCTCTGTCATTTTTTATAAAGGCTTTACAGATATTTAAATATAAGAAAAAATACGTAGAAGGCAATAATAATCCAACCACTGAAGAGGCTTACTCCTGCTTATGTACTTTATCTACACACAGTATTTCATGTGTTATTTTTTCATTTGATATTACATTAGTGACATTTCTACATGTCATAGATATTCTTAAAAATATGGCTTTTAATAGCAGCGAGTATTTCAGTTGACTAGGCCTATCATTTAGTTCCCAACAGCCTGTTGTGGGACATGTATGTAGTTTCTCTCACTCTGGGTTGGCATTATTTTTTGAGCACTTGCACAGTGTAATAACATTCACTGAACTGATTGACAGAGGATGAAACTTTGCATCACTCTCCTCCTGACAGCCTGAAATACTTGATTACCTTTTTTATGGCTACGAGACATTTTGTGGTCATTTTAAAACATAGATTCTCCTTCAGTCTGCCTAATACAATGAGCTTGTTTTCTATCAAAAATAACAACTACCAGAATTGTACTTCTGACTCCATTTTTCTGCATCTTTATCCTAAATCTTCTGGTCTTGTTGAAGAGTACCTTCCTATTTCCTCTTCACAGAATGTTTACAAGTCTGATCTCCAGTGGCTGAAAGGCATTGGCTGGGTCCCCATTGGGTCTGTGGATGTGGTCAAGTGCAAGAGAGCTGCAGAGATACTGAGTGACAACCTCTACCGCCAGCCTCCGGAGAAGCTGAAATTTACCAGTGTAACTGACACCCCGGAGCAGGTGCTGGCCAGGAGCAATGCCATCAACATGAACAAGGTGAGCGCCGCTGCCTCAGGCTTCCCCAGGACACCAACACATGCTATTTTACTTTAATGACTACTGGTGTTAAATCATCTATGAAACTGTGGGCTCACATTTACCTCCTAAATTTAATCAGTACAAATACAAAGATGGTTACCGCAAGCAGCTCGGCCATCACATTGGAGCCCGGAACGTTAATGATGACCCCAAGATGATGTGGTCCATACACGCGGCCAAGATCCAGAGTGACAGGGAGTACAAGAAGGACTTTGAAAAGTGGAAGACCAAGTTCAGCAGCCCAGTGGACATGATGGGGGTGGTCCAGGCCAAGAAGTGCCAGACCTTAGTCAGTGATGTGGACTATAAGAACTACCTGCACGAGTGGACGTGCCTGCCCGACCAGAACGACGTCATCCACGCTCGGCGGGCCTATGACCTCCAGAGTGACGTGAGTACAGCATCTATGACAGCTGGGTGCAGAAATAATTTAACTATATAAAAGTTATCTTTTATATACAATCCATTGGCCTCCTCAGGCTAGGATTGATTGGTCATTGAATGAGATTTGAATCAGAGTATGGTTTTATTGCTTTATTCAGAATATGTCAATAGGCATTATAAGGAAGTGAAGTTTCCAAACTGGACTTGGTCTTATAAAAAAAAAACAACTGGAACTAAGCAATGTTAGAATTCAGGGTCCACCAAAGGGAGATTTTTCTTTTTTTTCTATTAAGGGAAGTAGAAACAGCACAGGTTTATTTTTAAAAATTACTCTGAAATGTGTTATTAGCTTCCTTGCAAAAAAAAAAATGAGGTTATAATTAGTAGGATATTAACCTGCTACAATGCTCTTTATTATCCTTAAGAAATAAAGGGAGTCACCTTTTCTGTAAGCTATTAGGTAATTTCATTGACCCTTTCTTCTCTTAGCACAGCTCTTTAGAGAGGTCACGTGGTAGTAGAAGCAGCTGCACCTTCTGACATCTGGGTGTGAGATGCACATTTCTACAGCATGTATTTTATAAACGCTTGATGGAATTATGAAGCATTAGAGGACTTTGGACAATAAAACAAGTAGTAATAATGATACATTAATTGGCTGTTCCTAGAAACTCTACAGCCCACCTATAAAAAACCCCACATCTATAGCTCTC